AGAAGACAGAAAAGAGATCTAGACAAATTAAAAACGGCTTACTGGGAGAACAACATGTTCCAACAATGGATTCAGTACTCTGTCCAGACAATGTTCATAGCTAAAAAGCGCCGTAGAGATGATTGTATAGCCTGCTATAATGTTAAAAAATTACCAGCCCTTCAGATAATACCCGGAAGTAAAATAGGTGACTGCCCAGACGTAACGGAGTGCTTTGCTCACTGTGCCATGCAGATGGCCGTAGGTCTTGCATCATTATCAAAAGATCACACAATATGCCCTAAAGCGCTGACCTCCTCAATAAACGATGTAATGAGTACGTTCTCCCTCCCACCAATAGTACAAAAACTGGCTAACCTGATTTTTCAGTTTTGTATAGCCCGAGGGGAAGAATTGGAAGAAGTGACTAAAAGGACCTCTAGCCAAATGTGGACAGCAGATAGACTGATGATATGTAGTAATAGAACATGGTTCCCACCGACTGAGGATGGGAACTCCACCCACCACATTAAGTTTTGTAAAACTAGTTTTAAGGCTACCATACGTTGTGAACAAGTAATACCAGATGGGGGTCATGTCATCTATGAGTTCCAACCTTCAAGCGTATCTCAATATCGAATAGTGAGCATGGCAAAGGGATCTGCCCCTTTGGGTGACATTTTTTGGATGTGTCATAATGAGACACAGATGTTGGCCACACTGCCCCCTCTGTGGGAAGGCATCTGTGCACCAGTAATGCTGACAGGACAACTAAAGTTAATAGTAACTAACCCAGAAGGTATTAAAGAAACATTAACGAAATAACCAACCGCGCTAAAAGAAGTACTCCCGTCAAACACGAGTGGAAAACATCAGATGAGGTATATATCACCTGGGATCAGATTCCATATGGAGTACCTGAAGAACAGGTTGCCATAGGGAGTGACTGGATAGAAAGCGGAAGAGGGGTTGGTGCAGTACCAATTTGGGGAAATGTCGCGAATGCGCAATACATAGCTCGAAATATTAGATGGGTGAATCTCCTATGGTATAATCAACAAAGGTTTATAAATTTTACAATAAAGGGCATGGATCTGGTGAAGGAACAATTGCATGCCACTTCACTAATGGTTCTGCAAAACAGGTTCGTGCTAGAATCCCGTATGGCTGGGGATCAAGGGTGTGATATGTGATTATATAGGAGAAGATTGTTGTCCTTTGATTCCTATGCATACAGATGTAAACGGCAGCCTCACAGGAGTCCTACAGGAAATGAAACGCATGAGAGATGAACATGTGCTGCAATCTAATTGGAACACTCAGTTGAAGGGATTCTGGGATTGGTTTAATAAGCTTGGATGGGGAAGATATCTTAAGGCAGCAGGGGTGATTCTAGGAGCAATAATATTAATCATATTGATAGTTATTTGTTGCATCATACCCCTTGTTCGAGGACTAGTCTCGCGACTCATCGTAAGTGTAACTGGACAGTTCCCAGTAGTACAAATACAATTGGACCAAGGCATATAGAACATACTCATGATCTCCACCCGTCCCCATCAGGTACGTGCTTTTATTTACTAACAAAATTTTATATATGTATATTAACAGGCATAACGACTCATATACTTACTCACGTAGATATAGCAATTTGCATGCTGAATTATCCATAGATATAGGAGATAGTTTGCCTTAAGATGATATCTAAATATGCCATACTATGTCCCCACAGGTAGATTTATTAAACATGGCGGAGACTTATGACAAATGTGACGTATACCAAATGTCTTATTTCCCATCCGATGAGGCATGCCTAGCGTATAATGAGAGAAAAAGACAAGCTACACTGGCGTCGTTAGGCACATCACTAGAGGTAGCTGCATGCCCCTATGTTCCCCCCAGGCAGCCAGAAGATCCTGCAGGGGGGCCAGGCGTCGCACCTTCGGGTTGGAACAAACCTATGATGACACCCAGAAGGCAGCCAGATGATCAACCACCATCACCTACGGGGAAGCCACTGTCCAACCCACCATCACCTGGGAACCTCAGGATTGATTTCGGCCCAAACAGCACCCCTGCCAGTCCTGAGAATCCGGAGGACCGACTACCGCCCATCAGATCGCTTCAGGAGCTGCCATCCACTTCAGGCATGCGGGCTGAGCTAAACGAAAAGGAGCCTGCCTCTCCACCACCTATTTTCATGGCTGGCATATTGCTCGACCCTGAGGAAGCTCGCCACATTGCAAAGTTCTTGGCTCATCCGCTGGAGTCGTACAAAACCAGCGATGACCTTAGGCCTGAAATCACATCCATGAGCATGGCAGTTTATTCAAAATTTATGAAGGGTCTGACGTACCCCTACTCACGTCACCCCATTGAAATGATGCGCCGCACCATGTACAAACGCAAGGCAAAGGCTGGGAATCAGTGTTTGACCCGAGAAAATTTGGAGCTAAAACAACAACTTCAAGAGGCACGGCAGACCATTATCAACCTGCAAGGGCAGCTGCTGCAGCTGACCACTGATCAACAGCGTATGGCTCCCTACCCCCATGGGGGCCCGAATGGGGGCCCGCACTATTATTAATCTCAACTACAACACCATACTGGATATAAAGGACAATGTGATTATTGATGATTATGAATACCAAAGCTAAAAATAACTGACAAAATAATTGTGTGTAGGTCTAATACATGTGACAGTACAAGTACTGTGCAGGAGAGTGCCACATGGTTACTCGTATGTTGGTTGCAATGACGGTCCATTGACCATTGGATGATGTGTTTACCTGGCATAGTCTAGGAATGATGAAGCTTTTCTTGGTTTATTTATGGGTGTGTAGGTACACCCTGCAAAGGGGAATGCGGTGACCCTGGGGCACAAGATGCTGCTTGGGCATTGACATTTTCCTCTGCTGAGAAAACAAACAAAGAAAATCTTTCTACAAAAAAAGTAAGCAACGAGGAAAAGATCCTCATAAGTGAGCCAAGAGGGGGATCCCTCTTTGTCTAAGATGTCCTTCATATACTCATGACCTCTTATATTGGTCACTATAACTATATGGTGTGTGTTTAGTTTTACTTCTAGTTTGATGTGCATAATATAAGAACATCAGTTACTTTTGAAACTTCACACTTATGATATTTTATGGTACTGGTCACCTGTAGTCTCAATTAGTGTTGATCCTTGTAGGATCAAAGGGGGGAAATGTAGTAAATTAGTGTGCACCAATGATTAAGATATACACATGTCTTTTACATTGAATAAAGGTCTTACTTTAAAGGTCTAAAAGTCTGTGCTTCAGCATGAAAGGCGATAGAGGGTCTGGTATGCTACTCTAAGTGTAACTTCAGCATAGAACGAGACAGTGAGTCTGGCAAGTCACTCTAAATGTGGCTTGGGTGATGAGGCTAAGTTAAGAAAATGCAGATGACCTGCAAGAAGACAGTTGAGGCCAAACAAGGCCTGTGCATGAGACATACACTTGGAAGAATAAATCACTGGAGTTTTAAGTACCAAGATTATGCTAACCGAGTTTAATGTGAAATGTTATAATCATGAATCACTGGATGAAAACTTTGTTCTGAAATATTAATGACTAAAATATGATGTGTTTTTTTGATTTAATGGCAACATATGTTATCATGACCTATAAGAAATGTAACAATGACCTGTAATAAAGGGTTTTAATTAAATATATA